CCTCGCCTGCGCCACCCTCCTCGAACTGAACCGCATCGACCCCGCCACCTGGGGCAGCGTGTCGTACAGCTACAACCGCAAGGAAGCGAAGGACCACGGCGAGGGCGGCAACATTGTCGGCGCCGCTCTGAAGGGCAAGACGGTTCTTGTTATTGACGATGTCATCACTGCCGGTACCGCGATGCGCGAGACCCTCAACCTCGTCGCGAAGGAGGGCGGCAAGGTCGTTGGATTCACTGTTGCTCTGGACCGCTTGGAGAAGATGCCCGGACCTAAGGACGAGAATGGAGTTGAGGACGACAAGCCGAGAATGAGCGCTATGGGTCAGATTCGTAAGGAGTATGGTGTGCCCACCACGAGTATTGTTACTCTGGACGACTTGATCAAGTTGATGCAGGCGAAGGGCAATGAGGCCGATATGAAGAGGTTGGAGGAGTATAGAGCTAAGTATCAGGCTAGTGATTAGGGTGGTGTAGGTGATTGGGTGGATTGGGGGTTAGGGTTTGGGCGTAGGAATTAAAAGTTGTATGCATAGGGGCCTGGAGAGGTGTGTAAAGACGATTACGAGATGTCCAATGTCAGAAATGTGAACAAATGACTCTTCGGCGAATAGTCCTTGTTTCTAGCTGTGTTAGTTCGGAGAGATGCTGGACTCGCCATGAGGCTAGCACAGTCGGTGGTTGCCATATTCCCAGGCTTGAAGTGACCGACGCTCGTTTGGCTGACGTGGTGGTGCATTAATGGGGACTATGTCGGCCTCTATGGCGTGCTGCAGTAAAGCTCGGACTGGGGCATGCGCTATGACGCCCTAAGGGGGCTGACTACTACTTGGTCACAGGAGAACTCCTGAAAAGGGTGCGTGATTGATTGGCACGGTATTCCCCCTGTATATCGTTCACATTGCGCGATTACTCTGAGTGATCGTGATCAAGGGGACAAAAAAGCTAAGGTGATAACTGGCGATTTCTCGCACGGATCATGTCCTTAGCGCAGAAGCGTCCAAGTGGATGGGAATCGTCCTCATCTACAAGATTGCTATGAAAATCCTCGGTATTGAATGTCTGGTAGTCTGGATGATCTTTTCTTTGAATTCTTGCGCGAGCTTTCCAGAACCACTCAGTTCACCATCTGATTCTCATGATAACGGTGGCTGGGCTTGATACAACGATCATAAAACTAGTTTCAACACGGACGATATTATCATGTGCATGCTACACTCATGAACTCGTCCTAAATCTGGAGTGGATGGCTTCAAACTTATATATATCTGGCACTGACAAGTTGGAGGTAGTTGTGATGCGGTTATGACAGATCTATATATTTGACGATGACTGTAATCCACTACTAGATACCCTGCTGTAACTTACCACCCGCTATTACTTTTTAGTGGCATGTCAATCGCAGAATGGTCTCGGCCCGTATTTTGATTTCCGGTTTCGCTTCTAACCAGTGATATATCGGAGGTTAGGCCCTTTGTTTCTTGCAGGATTCTGTTCGGAGTTTTCTCGAAGCTGAGCAGTCCACCTATCATTGGCCTCTCGGGATAATCTCGGCACCGAACCATATCCGAGATGCCGATTGACGCATGGTAGCTATCAGCCACATTCTGGAATGCTCGTAACCGGGATCTGCTTGTTGCGCGATTAAGCATCCCGTCCCTGGTTGATCTGATGGAACTGCAGATTTTTATTCACTCAGCTAGGGGATGACGTGTTTCCATGCATTGGTGTTGCTGCAATGAGATTGACTCGGAGCTTCGTGCCGTGCAACATCGCATCTGGTCGTATAGCAGGTAGACTGCAGTCATTCCGTTGATGCACTCGTAATATACCCTGTGTAAAGAAGCTCTCTGCTGTGAAACCGCACTTCTGAAGATGTCAGGGTAGTTCAGCTGTGGTGTGACAGGCACAGCTGCGGCTCTGAAATAAAACCCATGCAATCTGGATTATCTGGATTATCTGGATTATCTGGATTATCTGGATTATCTGGATTGCCCCTGACTAGTTAGCTATCTGTTAACCTGGGATATCTGATTCACTGTAAGTGTTGAAAGGAAGAAAATTTCTCACTCTTGGTTGTAGCTAACCTGTTTATCAGGTCTATCGGGAACGGCATCAGCCCAATGGCGGCACCGGCGATAGCTCGGCATCGGAGATGGATCGGCGTGTCGTATACATGGAATCATCAACTGAAGTATATAAAGCCCTACAGTTCCAGTTCTATATACCATCAACATCAGCTCAACTGCAATAGACTATTTCATCTAGACACTTCCATCTAGACTTAATAATAATCACATCATGTCATCAACACCAGACCCGGCCAATGGCCCATCCCATCCTGCCCTATACAGGACAGAAACGAGGCAATCCCTCGAGAACCGCGGAATATCAGAAAAAGCACCACCGACAGACTACAACTATCCCGATGTCGGTCGAGAAGAGGACCCAGTCTTTCCAGAGGAATACACCGTCGAGACGAACACTGGCCTTGTCCCCGAAAGAACCCTTGAACAGATGCGCTCCCGCACATCCTCGCATCACACATCCAGCTCCGACATCGAGAAAGCCAAAGAACCAGCAGAATTCGTCACCTTCACCATTAACGATCCCGAAAATCCCTTCAACTGGTCTCGTACCTACCGCTGGTACGTCACAATGATCGCTTCTCTCCTTGTCGTCTGTGTTGCCTACGGCTCCGCCATTGTCACCGGTGGCCTCGGCCTCATCGAAGAAAAGTACCACGTCTCCCTCGAAGTCGCAACCCTCACCTGCTCCATCATGGTCTGCGGATTTGCCGTCGGCCCTCTTCTCTGGTCCCCTCTGTCTGAAATAATCGGCCGCCGTCCCGTCTACATCATCTCTCTCGTCCTCTACACCATCTTCAACATCCCATGCGCCCTGTCCCCAAACATCGGCGGCCTTCTCGTTTGCCGCTTCCTCTGCGGTGTCTTCTCCAGCTCCGGTCTCTCTCTTGCCGGCGGCACAATTGCCGACATTTGGAACCTCGAAGACCGCGGCATGGCTATCGCCTTCTTCGCCGCGGCCCCCTACTGCGGACCCGTCATCGGTCCCATCGTCTGCGGCTGGATCACCGTCGGTGCCCACCGTCTCGACCTCTTCTTCTGGACTAACATGGCCTTCGCCGGCGCCGTACTTATCCTCGTCGGTCTAATTCCAGAGACATACGCCCCCGTAATTCTTAAACGCCGCGCTGCCCGTCTCCGCAAAGAAACGGGAAACCCCAACATCATCACGGAGCAGGAGAAGCACAAGCTCACCCTGCACGATATCATCCGCACCAGCCTCATTCGCCCCATCACTATGATCCTGACCGAACCCGTCCTCGATCTCATGTGCATGTACATCGTGCTCATCTACAGCATGCTCTATGCTTTCTTCTTCGCCTACCCGGTCATCTTCGGAAAGTTGTACAACTACAACGACGGCCAGATCGGACTGATGTTCATTCCCATCCTTATCGGCGCGGGCTTCTCTCTCCTTTTTACACCCCTCGTCGAGAAGCACTTCCACCGTATATGTCTCTCTCGTCCACCTACCCCGGAAGATAGACTCATCGGGGCGCTGATCGGTGCGCCGTTCGTGCCTATCTCGCTCTTTATTCTCGGTGCTACTTCGTTCAAGCATATCATCTGGGTCGGGCCGGCATCATCAGGAATCGCGTTTGGGTTCGGCATGGTGCTGTGCTATTATGCGGTCAATAACTATATCATTGATAGTTATCAGAAGTATGCGGCTTCGGCGCTGGCTGCAAAGGTGTTTTTGAGATCGGGTGGAGGCGCGGCCTTCCCGTTGTTCATTACCCAGATGTATGATCGCTTGGGTTTGCAGTGGGCGTCGTGGTTGTTGGCGTTTATTGGGGTCGGGATGGTGTTTATTCCGTATGTGTTCTATTTCTTTGGCGGGAGGTTGAGGGAGAAGTTGGGGAGGAAGGAATAGATTTGGAGATAGAGGGTAGATGGGTATGGGGTAGTAATGATGATAACAGATTATTAGATTGGATATATGGATAGATTAATGTTTTACGCCTTTTAATTGCAAAATTCTTCCCTACTCTGCTTTGCCTTTTATTGTCCCTTATCTCATATGGTTGTCGGATTCGTTTTCAGCTTTGCTCATGCTTGCTTTTTTTGGGTGCCAACCCCGCCTAGTCTTTCCCCCTTGGTTCCCCGAGGAACGCCGGTGATTTAGCATCCTCCATTCCTTCTACAGCCTTGTCGACGTGCCGCCTCTACAAATTGGGCATCCATGCAGATCGAGACACTGCCAAGTTATGAGTGCGCTAACATAAAACTTAAGCTTTCCCCAAGCCTTCATCGATTGTATTCTATCAAATCGGAGACTTCTGGTGTCACACAGTGTCTTGACCTCATTCGGATTTCCCATTTTCTTTTCTTCAGCACAGACGGTGGCGTAAAGCTTGAGAACTATCGTTAATCATTTCACTGCCGACATGACTTGGTTTACCGGTGCCCGAGACACGTCTGATAAAGGCTGGCATTCTGATGCTGTCAGTCTCTTGGCTGTAATTGGGGAGTCCATCATCGAGAGGCAGAAGCATCTTATACTGGCTTCACCATTTTGTGCTCTACCGCGACTTTTACCGGCACCGCAAGCCATTTTAAACACGGGTTCGACGACCCAGCTGCCACCGGTTACCAATGTGTCTGTCATTGGTGTAAATTCAGGGAGAACTTACAATCAAATGGGTTACTTCGCCGGACTTATCCAATCCATGAGGTGGACAACTTGGAACCTTATGAATTTCGCGCTCATCGCATCCGTCATACGGAACGCTACTACACTGAAGCCAAACCCGGTAGCCTGGAAGAATATCACGAACCCGCTAGAACGAGGATCAGCCTGCAATTTCTCTGCCCCATGAATATCCTTACATTAGCATCTGTTCTCTTAACGATTGGTTTGGCTATTTGGTCGATCATTCTCCACGATGGTGTCGGTTTGCTTGCCATAATCACCATGTCGATATCCAGCAGCCTTGCATGTCTTTCGCAGCATTCCTATCCGGAACTCGAGAGGAGAGAAGAACACGCCAACGAGCAAGAGAAACTTGTTATAAAGACCCGCAATGGTGCTGTTATTGTCGTTCAGTGCACCGAGGATATCGCTCAGGAACTATATTTAAACCCAGAACATTACAAGTATACCTTGGAGCCGGATGAAACTCTCTTCAAATTCCTGATGGGGGCCAGCACCGTTCTACTCATGATCTCCGTGCTTCTTCTAAGCAACTGCGGGTGGACAATGCAGACAGCTATCGCTGTTACCTACATCCTGCTGAACTTTTGTTACTGGGCCATCTCAGTGCTGATTAATGGGCAAACATTCTGGGATTTACGTACATTTACAGTGAATGATTCCAAACATAAACAATCCGCTAATTATACGTATGCACTCTGGTTTGCGATCCGGGAAACGGGCGAGGTTGGGTGGGTTAAAGAAGCTCGTTTATTACCTGATTCGGAAGCGTGGAATGCCTGGTTAGAGGAGGCAAAGCAAAACATCACAAACCCAGACTGGGAACCTGAGGAGGCAAGACTCCGATTGATGGCAGGAGCATCATTGTCAAGTCGCTCCCCTGTGTCAGAAGTTGTCTGATAAACCAATGGAGCAAATATACACCCTTTGCCATGATCACCAGGGCAAGGAACTAACTAATACCTTACTATCATTACGATTAAAACTATAGTTTCCATTGATCGTATATAGACACACCCATGTTGACATCGGCTTGCACTTGTGATAACAGCTTCTGTTTAAATTGAGAAGCCTAATATTGAGGTATAAGTTTGCAGCAATCCGCAGAAGCTAGGGTGTTGCGCTGTGGAACGTAAACATAATATGTTTATTATCTCTTTATCTATAGGGACCAATGGGCGTAGTTATTCTCTATACGATGGACAGCCATTCGCTAAAGTCACTACGAGACATTATAGGAACCTTCTAAGGTACATCCTCCCCTTTTGCCAGATCTATAAACCTCGTGGCCTGATTTATTAACAACCCATCTAGGTCACGCATGTTGTATGCTCCACTTTCATCATCTCGAATAGGTACTGCCTCCGTGGTCTTTGAAAGACGATTAGTGAAGCCGCGGGACAAAAACAAGCCAACAATCCTCGCTGCTTCGATTGTCTTGACTGTCTCATCGCTCAGTCCTCCAGCTTCATTTTTGAAAGTGCTCCAGAATATATCCTCCAATCTGGAGTAATCATCGTACCTGATCCAACCTGTTTTGAGATGAATTTTACTTATCAGTCGTTGGTGAGAGTGGAGGTTTAGGCCAAATGGTGCAACCTCTGCTTCGGCCCAATCCACCACTCCAACTAGATTGCATGTGGTTTCGTTCACCATGATATTGCAGACCCCAAAATCCCTATGTAGTAACACCATGGGGAGAGAAAAGATAGCAGGCAAAGAACTGATTGATTTCTGGATCAAGGGGCGAAATCGGTCCGGCAGAGAAATGAGTAGTAACTCAAGCTCGCTCTTATATTGATGATATAGACTATCGCGGTAGCTCTGATCAACAACTTGTGGTGATTTCCACGAAAGGGCAAAGAACCTATAATGTCACTAGTCAGGAATTTGGCAGGCAACGTGGTGCACTAGACATACTTCGCTATGTCGATTACCAGATTCTTGCGCCATGAAGAAAACTCGGCTGAATTTTCGGGAAACTGATTGTTATGGGCCAGGATGAAATCCAAGTAGCTAATTCCCTGTATTCTATCCATGACATAGATATAAAGGGTCTCTTTTCCCTCCACATCTTCCCCAATCTGTCCCTTAAATACGACGTTAGGAGCAAAACCCCCATAAATGGTGCGTGCCAGATTTACTGTCTCCATGCTTAAACGAGAAGACTTGATGCGGAATTGAACGACAAACTCATCATTTGGCCCAGCATAGACTGTATAGCTGCATACTCCCTGCATAGCTACCGGCACGACTTCACCACCAAGATGTTCTCTTGCAAAAGTATCGCAGGCCGAGCGAGTCGCCGTAGTTCGCTCAAAGAAGCCAGCAATCTCTTGGTCAACAGAGTAGTCAAGGCTAGAAGTAGCCATGATGCATATGAGATTGCTACGTTGAATCAATATGCGTATTCAAATGATGATGCAGAGATGCAGTCGGAGGATGCGAAGACTTGAGCGCTGACCTTGGCATTTATAACCCTGTGTGCAAGGGCCGATGGCTCAATCTCCAACGGCAGCTCCCACGTGATAGCAGCCATCTGATTGGCGCCACGATGCTTTACGAATCGCGGTGTACATAGACTCTACTATCGAATTTGATGTAGTGGATGATTCTCTTTCAGAAGCCGGGGATACTTCGATTTCTTTATCATCCACTCCTATTTTGTTTATCCGGCCGTCGTGCTACGCAGGCCATGGTTATCGACTGCATTCATGACGCTATCATTCTACAACTACACGTCCCGCCATATAGGGTTTGGAAGGGATATAATAAAGTATAAGTTTTACAGAGGTTTTGCGACCCTTCACTTTTATTAGTAACTGTTTTATATCGAGTCTTTGCTTCAGAGGCAAATCTCTTCATGTCTGTGTTAGCAGTTTTGACTTCCTTTTTCGTAGGGTCAGTTCCGGCCCTGCTAGGTGTTCGAGAGTGCGCATGTGAGCTACGTTGAACAGTACCGGACCATCATAGCCTGCGGTCATGGCAGCTGGTAACGAGATGCTGACGCTGCTAGCATACATGGTGTTTTCTCCGTCCCTAGCGGCAATGGTATTCTTCAAACCACATATCTCAATCATTGGAGAATATTAGATGCTTTGCGATGTCGAAGTCATACATCCAACTATAACCATAAGAGCTCTCAATTCCCCGGTAATTGCGCCCTGACTTGCTCGAACACCCATCTTCATCAATATAGCTGGTGAAGAACTAAAGCCTGTCCTCATACGGCAAAACCAGCTTGTTAGTCTAAGCTTTTGATTTGGGGTGATAGAGTGGAAATATTACTTTGACCTTTGAGCTCTCTGCATGGAGTAACCTGTTGGCTAATAGACCTTCCAGAGCTTTGTGTAATTTTTCACTCTTATCTAGGAAGCTTGATTGATATTTTGCGTAAGGTTAAACAAGGATATATTTAGTCCTACCTGTAAGATGTCGCGGACCTCAGCACATATGATGAGGCTGAAATACTTGCTTCCATTATAGGGAAGTTCGCATTCAGTTGTCCACTCCCTGGAGCCCCTTTTCGGATCTGTGTTTCTAGACCCTCACGGTGGAGACTCCAACCGAGAGTTTGACAACATCACTCAGTAACTCATGGCATATATCAAATCTGATCATCCAAGCCATTACCATCACTTGTCAGGGACTCAAAAAAGTCTTCTCAATATCTCCGGTAACTTCATAATCATGGCTGTTGCGTGTCGAGATCGAGGGTCTTTATAGCCTCGATATGTGTCGGATCCTGGGCCAAATTCCGCCGTATTGTTTGCTGCGACAAGCGTATTAATTCTATTCTTGATTGCGAAAAACAGAGATATAAAGCTCAAGGCCAACTTTGGACAGGAGTACTCGATTATCAGCCCCTGGCCTAGCGGGGTGTTGCTTCACCCATGCCACCAGCTGTGCCACCTCCTGCATATCAACACCTGGAGAATGTCGTCACCGGGCCCCTGCTTTGCACTCGACGGGTGCCATAATCCGATGACTGGAGACCTCCTCTAATTGGCCATCAGTATAAGCGACGTATTGCCGCTTACGCTGCGGTGTGCCAAAGTCTACCGTCAACGTCCTTCTGCCAGTCGACCACTGGCGCTTAATAGGCTGATCGAGAAGCGCCGCAATAGCGGTTAAGAAGGAGAGGAAGGCGGCGTTGACACTGGCTTCTTTCGAACCCTCACAGCGCGTACCCCTCGCCTGTTCGTAATTCACATGTCCTTGCCAAGTAGCCGCAATAGATACTAGATAGCAAGGAATGGAATATAAGCCGGTGCATCACTTTATAGAAACACCATTAATTGACCATCTAAACCAGTAATTCTGATATTTCCAGATATGTATAATCACATGACTAGCAGATTTCCGCATTTTATCAAGACCATGCAAACAGGATCTTTATTGATTCATGTAATGGATGACTTCAACGCATAGCTTTCATCATATGTTAGTTGAGGAAGATAAAGACCGCAGCAGGCATTGAGCCTGGCTGTGTTCAGGTATCGATAGGAGCTCAGTCTCTGAGTCTACTATCTCGAGGTTCATGTTTGATTTCAGACCTGATAAACGTGGCTGACATTTTCATGACTGTCCACATCCTAATATATATCTCTGCCAAACGTGCCATCGTTGACAGCAATACCATATAGGAAGTGTCTACGCAATAGTGCCGAAGACCTCTAGCCGTATACACATGGTTACTAGGCATATGCGTCGCAGATAGCAAGTGAAGTCAGCAGTGTATTGAGGTCTTCTGGCAATCGATGTTATCTTTTTTCCCTAACATACGGATCTTGCTGCGATGAATAAAATGTCGATAAAAATTAATATCAATGATGGAGAAACATCACTGATTGGTCGCTTAAGCAGTGGGATATTTGTGGACCGGAAGGAGACTTTATCTCCTTTTGAATTCTTGCCAGTCTACAACCTGTCAGTTCTCAGAAACCCGTTTGCGGCTGCTATTTTTTGAGCATGGGTGGAGTGCATCAGATCTTCCAATTTGTTTGTAATGGTAAAGAAAGGCTTATATAGTAGTCGGCAACAAACAGGTGGAGTTAGGAATAACTTCAGTCCTCTCCGGCTGCATTTGCCAATTCCCGACCGACCAGTATTGCGAGAAGATAACTTGGGCAGTATAGCGTGCATGGCCTTCATCATCATCATCCGACTAATCATTTGCAGGTTCTGTGTTGTACTTGCGTGTATGTCTGTCTGAAAGGATATATAGTTTCTCGGGCTATCCACTTGGAACTAAGGATGCGGTATCCCTTCGGAGGGTCCTAGCATATTATTTATATGTGAGGAAATATTATTTATATAGAGAATATGAAGAGTAGCAAGATAGGAGAGCAGAAGTAGAGTTATATATTATGCAGTGAAGAAAGTGAAGGGCTTGCAGCAGAGCATTTTCAGCATCCCCGATCCAGTGCCATTGAGTATATCATTGTGAATATATTGTAATGCTAGATCATTCATTCGGAAACAGCACTCCTTATTAGGTCGTGTACTCAACGTCTAAGTGACTACGACTTCATCTTAGAAATTCACCCTGTAATTCAACCACAAAGAAATTAGAAGTCCACAACAGACTTTCAACCAACTTCTATGATTAGCCATCACACGACAAGGAAGTTCTAGGGATGAATTGAGCCTCCTATACATCGCCTGCAAAAAGCCGGAAATTCCCGACACCACTCCAATGTTCCAGCCGCAGCGCACAGACAGCCAACTCGTATCCACACGAGATTTAAGCCCAGAGGAGCGCGCGTTGGGTAGACCAAATGCTGTATGATAAGAGTTCTGGCCTGACTGCCAACGAAGGAGTCATATGCGCGCGGTGCTCGCCGGAATGTGATCGGGCGAGATGATGCGAACCAATCGGGACGAGTACCCACATGGCGTATCCTTATGAGAGACATCCAAGCTGTATGGTCTCGACTAGTTCATTCCCACGGGACAAGACTCGCCAAGCTGATATTAAGTAAATGTTTATTGTTATCGGCTCGGGTTCAGGCTTGTGATGAAGAGAGTCGGGTTGTTGTTACGGCATCCCGAGGCAGGGCTGATCAGGCAGTGGAGCAACATGAAGCTATCCTTACTTCGGGTGTGCAAGCAAAGCATGTGAAACCGGCAGATTCTGACGTGGTGTGCAATACCTGCCATGCGGTGTCAACGTGGGAAACCATTCAGCCTGATAGCGGATCACAGTTTCACTTCCACCGCATGGCATGTCTGTGCTTGGCGACGATGATTGGGTCGTCAGGGGTTACTGGATGATTCCTGATCCTTCGGCTGGAATTGCCAGGTGATGGCAGCATCGGTCGGCCTCGCCGGGGATAAGCCAAGCTGACACAAGACAAGGTAAGCAGACAAGAAAGTATTGTAGCTACTGGTAGGGTTACACGTCATGTTGCTGCATGATTAGCATGGGGGAATAAGACCATGCCAATCGATCATGTTATTCACCGCTGCAGTTCATAACAAAGACTTCCATTTCGATCTTATTCCATCTGGTGCATAACTTGCACAACCGCGGAAAGGTTATGCGGATTGCCACGTTCGGGGAGCCTTATTCCACCGCATTTTCTTTCTCTCGGACCCACCACTGATTCAGCGCCTCCATCTTCAGTTTATTGCCACATATTAAGTGGCTATTGATATCCCGCTGACTCGCCTGATCAGGGATGCCCTAACAAACTCCAACCAGATTAGCCATCAATCCCAGCGGCTCTGCATGTCACGACAAACGCTTTTTCTTGCACATTATTATATCCTGCAAATTATGCATGCCGTTATCTCCGTCCAGACTATTTTAAAAACACCCCATCCGCCATGGCTTTCCCATTTTCCATCTTCACGAATTCCACCCTAGTCTCTCTTTCTTCTTGTGCAGAACCCAACTGTCATCCTCATCATGCCCGACCTCGAGGATCAATCCGAGAAGCCCACTTCTCCAGTCCAGTCCCCCGCATCCAGCACCACCACTATTGCCGCGCTTTACCCCGAAACCGATCTCGACAAGGGTATCATCGGCTGGGACGGTCAAGATGACCCCAACAACCCGCAAAACTTTGCCCCGAAACGCAAATGGATGCTCCTCGCCCTAATGAGCTCATTTACCTTCATCTCGCCGCTGGCGTCGAGCATGTTCTCCCCCGCTATCAGTTACGTGGCTGCCGACTTTGGCGTCACCAATGAAACCCTCCTCTCCTTCAGTGTCACCATCTTCCTTCTCGGCTACACAGTACGCACCCTCCTACCCTCCCCATATCATCAACCCCTCCCATGCTAACAACCCCAGGTCGGCCCCCTCTTCCTCGCTCCCCTTAGCGAAATCTACGGCCGCCGCATCACTTTGAGCGCCGCAAACTGGTTCTTCGTCGTCTGGCAAATCGGCTGCGCGCTCGCCCCCAACCTCTCCGCCTTGATCGTCTTTCGTCTCTTCGCCGGCATGGGCGGCGTCGGCTGCATCACCCTAGGCGCCGGCGTCATCGCCGACCTCTTCCCCCATACCCAGCGTGGCATGGCTACCTCCATCTGGGCCATGGGCCCCTTAATCGGCCCCGTCGTCGGCCCCATCGCCGGCGGCTTCATTGGCGAAACCATCGGCTGGCGCTGGGTATTCTGGATCCTGCTCATCGCCAGCGGCACCATCGGCGCCTGCATCGAGCTCCTCAACCGCGAAACCTACGCGCCCGTCCTAATTCGCTGGAAAACAGCCAAGCTCGCACGCGAACTCAACCGTCCTGAACTTCGCAGCGCCTACGACATCTCCCAGGGCACGACACCCCCGACCGTCTCCCAGGCACTAATGCAGGGCCTTCGTCGTCCCATCATCCTCATCTGCAAGAGTCCCATCGTCCTTCTCCTCTCCATCTACATGGCCTTCGTCTACGGCCTCCTCTACCTCTTCTTCACGACCATCACCTCCGTCTTCGAACAGACCTACGGCTTCTCCACCGGTCTCGCGGGCCTCTCCTACCTAGGTATTGGAGTGGGCTTCTTCATCGGCATGACTGCCGTCGCAATGACCAGTGACCGCATGGTCGTCAAACTCACCGCCCGCAACAACGGCATCTTCCAGCCCGAAATGCGTCTCCCCACGATGATCATCTTCGCCTGCTTCCTCCCCATCAGCTTCTTCTGGTATGGCTGGTCCGCTAAGTACGAGGTTCAGTGGATCGTGCCGATCATCGGCATGGCGCCGTTCGGCATTGGCATGATGGGCATCTATATGCCGATCCAGACGTACGTGATTGATTGCTATCCGGCGTATGCGGCCAGTGCGAATGCGGCGCTTACGGCGACGAGATCGTTGGTCGGTGCGGTGTTGCCGCTTGCTGGGCCGAAGCTGTTTAGCAGTTTGGGGCTCGGGTGGGGGAACTCCTTGCTCGGATTTTTGGCGTTGGCGTTCGTGCCCGTGCCGATTTTGTTCAATCGCTATGGGCAGAAGATTCGGGAGAAGTGGGTTGTGAATTTGGATTAATGCCCCTACGGCCACTGGTGCATTTTCTTTGTGTTGTAAAAAGTTTTGGTGGGCATATTTATAGATGATAGACATACATATGTGCATGTATACATTAAATATGAGATACGAATAATATAACAGAAGATAATAATAGTACAGATTGATTTGAAGATTACCCAATCTCCATCAACACCTCTCCCACATCCACCCCTCTAACAACATCCGGCCAAACGTCCACAAACTCCCTCGTTATTCCCCATCCCTCCTTACACATGAACATGTTTCTGAACCGCGTCTTTATGACCAACTCATTTTTCTCGTCCCTCTCCAAGAGACTCTCTCCCCAAGGCCACCTCACCTTCATACAACACGCCAGAAACCCAAAAAGATCGTCCCTCTGCCGTGAATACACCTCCCACTCGCGGATCAACGTCACCCTGATCTCAGGCCAGATTAACATATCCAGTGACGCCGGGTGCGGGATACGCAGCTGTTCCTGAACGGGGTGCATGAAGGTCGGCAGCTTAGCGAATGTCTCCGAGGTGGGGTTGAAGAGCCATTTGCTGTAATGGTAGCTGAGCCAGCCAAAGGCGAGACGCTCAGGGTCGCGCAGGGGTCGACGGAGGGAGCTGGTGTAGATGGTGTTGGCGAGGGGGTTGGTGTTGGTGCCGTAGAGGAGGTCGAGGGGGTGAGGGGAGGGAGGGCAGGAGATGATTGTGGATGGGGGGAGGGTGAGCCAGAGAAGGGAAGGGGTGGTGGGGAGGTCTGAGTGCAGAGGGAGGAGGGAATAGAGAGGTGGTATTGATTCTTCCTTGTTGGTTTGTGGTGGTGGTTGTGGTGATAATGACGATGATGGTTTTGGTGTTGAGGTGTATGACTGGATTGGCGGTAGTGGAAGTTGCGTCGGTGGTTGTGGTTGCAGTAGATGCGATGGGGATGATGACGGATCTTCCCACGATGTGATCAATGACTTTAGTCCCTCTTGGCGATTTCGTAGGACTTGGTTCTCTCGTTGCAGGCCCTCTATTACTTGTAGGAGATGCTGCGTGCCGCTGTCGTCGTGGTAGCGCTCGCAGTGCGCCACTTTGTCTTCTAGCTGCGCGGTGTATTGCTGCTTCTTTGTGCGCAGGGTTTGTTGGGCGCGACGGTCTCGGAGACGCTTTTTTTCTGCCGAGGAGAGGGACATGTGTGCCGATGGTGCTGTAGAAGGAATTTAGTGTGAGCTGGGATAGATTCTGGAAATGAGACTAAGCCTGAGATTAAGTTGTGGAATAAAGCCGGAGATAAAGTCAGAGGGACTAATGTCGGGGGTGGAGTTATGCACTGCGTCACGGCACAAGTTGTGCATGTCCGGGACGAAGGTCATTGGTGAGGGTGTGTGGAAGTACCATGGGCTGTGGCAATAATCACATCGGGCTGGTTGTCAACTTGGCAATAGCCAAGTCATGTATGTGACATAGTGCTTGCTAGTTATAATTTGTGATCTATTGTCAAGACGTAGGGTTGGTCATATCTGGGATTTGATCTATGAGAGCTCAAGATTGCGGTTATAGATTAGTGTAAGAAGTGGTCAGCGACCACTAGACAGAAGAGGGTGCGGAAGTTCAGATGATACCTGGCTACAGTGAATGATTCAACATCTGTTATTGTTGTTTGCTCACATACGCCGCACTAAGATTAAGTCTATATATGGGAAGGCCAGCTTCCTACAGCCCCCGAAACCAAGGATCCGACAGTAACCCTTGCACAGTATCCCTCTCATCTTCTTTCCACCGCAGCATTCGCGATATTACGTTAATAAAGGCCTGTTTATCGTCACCTTCAACGTTGCGAAGAGTTTTTTCAAGTCCTCCACTCTCTAGGATCAGCCCTGGATGCTTGAAATTGCCTGCATTGAGATCAGTAAAGCTCCACCATTGCTAGCCGAGAAGAGTGACTACCTTCAGTATCAAAATATCGAGAAGCATACTTCGCCTCATGAAGCACATCCACAGGTGGAGGTCCAAGTACCGATATAATGCGAGCCAGATGAGCTTCCTCCGTGAAGGTAGAGTGATTAGAGTCTGGTCCATCAAAAGGACCACTGCCGTGGGCTAGTTCCACAAGCTGGATCATTATTAGCAACTTACAATATCTGCGAAGCGAGCAATAAGCCATACCAAAGCACCCAGGTTCCATAGATCGGCACTGTACTTCCAACCTGCTCCAAGAATAACCTCTGGGGCCCTGAAACTATCTGGTTGAATGGGATGGTAATGAGTCTGAGACCCTTCCACAGCCAGTCCGAAATCAGTGATCACTGGTCTGCCCAAGCTGTTTGCTTCCACGCCGAAGTGATTTCTCGAAAGGTATATTGTTCGGTCTTCGAGCTGTTTCTGAGGCAGTGGTTCTTTTACTTCATCCTGAGACACTCTATCAAGTATGGAGTGGTCACGGAGAGCCATGAGAACATTGTCGGATTTTAAGTCTAACTAATTATTAGTAATTCACAGCTTGCCTTTCTTTTGCTCAGAAGCCATACCTGTATGAACGACCTCACATTCAGAGTGGAGATAGCCAAGCCCTTCCATAATCAATTTGGCAACAGGTCTGAGAACGTCCAATGGAAGCACATCCCCTTGAAACCGCCGTCTAAGCATCCATAGAGGCTCACACAATGGATCAAACACCATGCAAACATGAGGACCATGAGGACTTGGTAAATTAAAGGAATCGAGCAACGTGTTAACAAAGTTCCGGCCTACATGTCGTGGATTTGCGCGCGTAATTTTTTCAGTAATTCGAAGTTCCCTTTCAGCGTCTTCCTTTGTTGCATAGTTATCTGCCTTGATTTTGACTGCAACGTAGCGTGCTGAACACCAGCGCCATCTACTATCATATTAGTCTGAGTCTATGCCGAACGGCTTTAACGATGCAGTAGAACATACCGATTCAAATCACGAGCTAACCATACTGTTGAACTGGTTCCCCAACCCAGTTTGGCAGTGATTTGGTACCTGTCGTTGAGAATATCATAGAGGCGGACAGGGTAATAGTGGTCTGGCTTATAACGTGGAGTGCACTCTTCTTCTATCAGTTCTGCAGCCGGTAATAAAGTTTGCCTCGGCACATTCGATTGCTTATAAGGACTTGATTTGAATACTTTGTTGACCGAAATTCTCAGAGACCTCCACGGTGTTGCCATTTTGGATGTAAGATCCGTGTCTGGTGGTACATGCCATGGGAGGTCGGAGGACCAAAGGAATCCTGGGCAAGCACGGGCCCCATGTAAGGGGATCTGGACCCACTGTCTCCCGCGCGGATCTGACCGAAAATAGCAGGATATCAAAATATCCACACTGATCAGTCTATTATACGTTTATCTACAGACACAGAATCTCAAGGTTGAATTTAGTCGTGTAGCATATGGAGAGATACTAAAAATCTGAAAACCATGGATGTTCCAAGACTTCACGGGCAGTTAGTCGCTTGGCAGGGTCCAGATTCATCAGCTGCCCGATAAAATCCCTGAATTTCGGTTCCGTATGGTCCTCCCACTGTGAGAATGGCTTGTATGGTGTGTATTCTTCTGATCTTTCATCCCACAGCATCCGCAGAACTTGGCAATTAACCTCGTCATCGCCAATATGTTTCAGCAGTCCATTAATGCCTTCATTGTTGCCAAAGTATGAAACTTGACGCTGAAGACGCATCATAGCGGGCAATGCACCTTGCGATTCATGGAAGCGGAAATCGTCATCGATGCCAAAGATAGCACGTCCCAACACCGCATAGAGACACTAAACATGTCAATATTGCTCGTCTAAGTTTTCAGATGTACTTACTACAATCCCAAAAGCAAACATGTCTGTTGGCTTGTTGAGTTCTCCCCTGAAGTGTGCTTCCGGACTGCGCCAGTTGTCGTTTCCAGCGAGCATACCTTTTATGCACCTACCTTTCGGCAGGTAAGCGGCATTCTCGGGATCGGTAAGTAGGACCTTCTCGACTACGGTCTCTTCTTCTCTATCACGGCAATCGACCATGATATTGTCCAGCTTACTGTCTGAGTCAAATCAGCACGGATGGCCCGGTGGGCTCAGGAGTCGGATCAATTGCTTATTACCAAGGTGCACGACCTGCTGCTCATGAATTTCAGCGATACCTAGCAAGCAAGATTTCAGAATCTGCTTGCGAGCTCGAGTCGATATGCCTCTCTTCACCAGGCTCAGGAAGTCGTCCGTCATATACTTGTAGACAAAGACTCGCTGACCTGATATACTGTCACATGGCAGCCGTATATGATTTGTTATACACAATCGCGGTTGTATCTCCTCAGTGAACTTGTCGTAGATATCGCGAGTTATGTCCTTTAAGATGTACTTGTTTTGCCCGGACCTGAACTCTATAAGCAAAGCTACCCAAAAGGAGCGAGAGAGGTTAGAGACATCGCCAACCAAATGCGACCCCTGCATGGCCTCTTCTGGATCATGCTTCGGAAGCGATAGTGAGATCCGGTTGCTCCAACGTAGTCGGGAGTTGCCTTCGCCAGCCTTGGGAGGGTTCTTTGGAACATAGTGGTGTTTCAATAAGATTTTGTAGTCATAGGACGCGGAACTCAAGCCCAATCAGATAGAGCTTTCATATAGTGGAGGAATGATATTTGGAGTTATTTCCATCTACACAAGCTCCACTGATTTGCAATAACATGGGTGTAAAAAGTGGAAAAAGGGGCTGGGCAATGGTTGGTATGATGACTAACATACTGCATATGGGCGGCATTGGCAGGTAGTCTGTCACTAATCTAATAGAGATTATCGGTCTTGATTATGATGATGTCAGGTGCTACTAGGCGGACAAGTTTCTAGCAGCCAACCTGCATGTAGCACTCACATCTGGTACGAGAACAGGAGGGTAATTTTACTCTCCACGACTTGTGAATGTGGATACAAAGTGTCAGATCTAGAAGACAACCAGGCTTCCACTCACCACCCCTCGGAGAAACACAACGGAGGCATAAGCCGCGGTATAACCTCTTCTCATGACCTGAATACGTTCTTATTCTCGTCTCTCTATAGTTTTCGGAACACACTTTCACCAGGGTTGTCCCGTAACCATGACGCCACAACAGGGGCTGCTATATAAGCAGAACCGAATGACCTACACCTTAATTCAAGGGCTCGACTTCCCCCTCATCTCCATATTGATTATACAACAATCCCAGCCCCAAAGTGGTTCAGAAGAATGGCAACGATCGCCCTCATTGGCCTCGACTCCGTAGGCGCCTCAACGGCCCTATCCCTAATTCGGCGAGAAATCCAAGCCACCCTCCTCCTCGTGGACATCGATACCGAACTCCAAGACGCACAAGTGCGCGATCTGTCTGATGCCGCGCTCTTTTATGAATCCGTGACTAAAGTTCAAGCGGCCACGCACCGAGAGGCAAGTCAGGCTGACGTGGTTATTATCACTGAGGGGATGAAACCTACTCCTGGTAATCACTACCTTACATACGAATGTACAGATCTTGACAAGGAAAATTGGCTAATCCCCGTGCATAGGAGAAGACATCTACGAACACGTATATTTCAAGACCACTGTACTGAAGAGCATACTCAAGGAGATGATGCCGATCAACCCGAACACCGTCATCCTAGTCGTCGCTAACCCAGTTGATCTGCTCACTACCCTGGCTCAAGATATCACGCGTCTGCCTAAGGAGCGAGTCATCGGGGTTGGGACCTGTCTTGACACTTTACGGCTACAGGAGGAGGTATCTAGCTTCCTGGGGGGGACGACAGAAGAGACGGTGGTTTGTGTGGTCGGGTACGGGATAATAAGAGCCAGGTTGTTGGGTGACCGACTTCCCGAGGGGGAGATGGGATTTCAAACAAGGAGAGGCTCGACGCGGAGGAAGATATCCAGGGCAGGATGAAGGCCATTGTTGCTGGTGAGGAAGGAACGCCGTTGGAGGTGGGGGCTGTAGCCGCCAGTATTGCGATGGCGGTGTTGGAAGATAAAAGGACCGTCTGGACGGTAAGTCATCGGAGGGGTAATAATTGGTGTTGTTATTCGTGGCCAGTTGTGGTGGGGAGGGAGGGGGTGGTCAGGGAGGTGGAGGTGAAGGTGAGAGAGGGAGAGAAGTGGACATTTGAGAAGGGGGTTATAAAGTTGGGGATAATGTGGGAGCATTACAAGGTGAAGGAGTTTCACAAGGTGAAGGAGGCTGAAGGGCCGTAGTAGGGATCGAAGTACCTTGTGAGTGGGATTATGCGTTGCTTGATTAAACAATGAGAACACGCGAATGAATGTCTTTGCAAGTATCGTATGTGTAACGAAGTGGACTGGAGTTCGAAAGATCAAAACTATTGAATCCACTTGTTGTCGCCAGATCCATCAGCCTTCTTCCAATTTTGACTCTGCTCTCTCGCCACCACCTGCCTCTTCACCACCACGAATCTACCCGATATCACCGACAACTTAGAATTATCACTCGGTGCCTTTCCACAAATGCCCACCTTGCAGCCAACCCTACGCGCGATCCGAAGAACCTGCGCGATGAGGGTCATAACCGCCTTGTCCTGCTCATTGAACAGCTCTGCTAACTCATCCGAGTTACAATAAACTCCAGTGTCAGCTGCGTGAAATCTTTCAAACCGATCGAGAACGCATCAAAGTGCGTCAGGAACTGCTCCGCCAGGACAACGTTTGACGGAGTCTCAAATTTCAAATGAACCTGCAGTCCATTATCTGCCGACACCCGCAACACCTCCTCTACTTCGCCCACTGTGCGACAAAACGGAGTCATGGCCACCAAATTCGTGAAATCCATTTGCCCTCACAGCTGTGGATAGTCCTACACCCCAGCACAAACCCTTCATGAGCATAAGACTGTCATATCCTACCCGAGTACAGCACATAGGTGGCATTATAGGTGCCCACGATGACAGGGACGCCAATCTCGTAACTGACAATGGCAGCGTGGGACGTGCGGCCGCCATGGTCGGTGATGATCGCCGCAGGGCGCTTCATGATCGGCGCCCAGACTGGTCGGTCGTGGCGGTGACGAGAATGCAACCGTCGATGGACTTGCCCAACCAAGGCGCAGACTCTGTCAGATAGAGACGGCCGGAGACAGGGGCATCACCTACGATCACCCCGGTGATTTAGAGTGCGGCCCTTGTGGCCGATGTTGTACATCTTAAGATCGGCGGTCGCGTCGCACACAAGTGCATGGCTTCCGGTCGGGCTTGGGGGATGAATGAATCACTGGCAAGACTGTCTTTCACGCCATGCCATGTCCATAGGGCAGTCGTAATGGGTGTCAATGGTGCAGGCCCATCGAGCGTTTGGGGGGTTTTCGGGGCCACTGAGGACCAGTGCGACGCGTTCGGCTTTAGAGGTTGTTGTCTGTCCCGTTGCCGGAGATAACGATGGCGTTGTGGCCGCACTCGCGTCGATTATGGAGACGAAGTAGTCGTCCGAGACGAGGGGCTTGAAGACTTGGTACTCATCTTGGTCGACGGTGTTCTGGACGATGTTCTCTCCTAGTCCCTAGGCAGCATTGATGACGATGACCCTGTCGAAGTGTGTCTTGGTGTCGATGAAGAACATCGAAGCCTCTGGAATCAGAGCATACCATGCGCTGTGAGCTCATGGTGAGACCGATGCAAGGGTAGTAGAAGCCATTTATTTGTTGATAATTGACAGCCCGGTCGGCGAAGAGTGACGCCTAGGATCGTCGACAAGCATCCAGGAGAGCGTTTTCACCCATAACGCCGGGGTGAAATTCTGGTCTCCAGCAAAGCTATCATCCGGAAGATTTTCCTTTGTGGTCCTGGATCCGACGGCCACGCTGAGATTCTTCACGCTTGCTCTGAATGGCTACCTTGGTATCAGGGGGTCAGGTTCCCCGAGGGAAGATATCGCGTACTGCTTGTTATAGTTGCCGCGAGATGTGCCTGGCCTTGTTCCCAGTCTGCACATAAGCTCAGCCAGGTGCTTTGGAATCTTATTGCTGTCAATGTAGTGCCGGTAGCTAAATTCGCCATAGGACAACAGCGTCCTCCGATTTGAGGGAGCTGCTCAACAACTATGCCAGCCTGATGACAATATGGCTGGAAACATATGCTTGGTAGATATTGATGCACAGCTAGTGTGTCCATGAACAGCCCTGACAGAGCAAAGCCAAGTACACTTCATCAACCGAACTGGGCAAGTAACATCTGAAGCCGTAGCTACTGTCCACGAGCTCAGCATTCGCTCCCAGGTATGCAATACGCCTATATCATATTCAGCATACAAATCTCGATACTATTCGGGAACCTAACTTACCATACCAAGCATTAACTCCCGTCACCATCGAGGGACATTATCTTCCCAACACACGTGCGAAATATCAACAACCCAACGCTACCACTCCCAACTCCCCGGCATCTTCATCTTCGCACATCCCTCACTCTCGTCTCCCTGTTCATCCTCCTTCTTATCTCCATCTTCAACCGCCCCATCCCCCCACCGTTCCCTCCAAATCGCCAACTCCTCCTTCCACAGATCGTTGACGCACGGATCACACGAACTCCCACAGCACTCGCCTAGGCCAGGCGGTGGAGGGGGGTCATTGTAATCGCGCTCTGCGGCACGGAGGAGTTGCTTTGCGCGGGTGTTGGGGAGACGGTTGCGACGTTTCTTGAAGGAGGGGACGTCTTGGGGGGTGTAGAGGGGTGATGGGGGCATTTTCTTCTTGTGTTCTTACTCAGTAGGGTAGGATAGACTGCTATGTATATGATGTTGGTGATGGTATAGTGATTCAGGATTGTGCGTTAGTGTTGTGGTCTACGATGCATGATTGAAGGTATACAGGCATGGCAGTGAGGTCTGCCGGATGAAGATCGGGTAAGATCGGGATGGGATATATTCGTGTCGGGTATGGGTGTCGGGATACGCAGATATGCATGGTGAGTGTGAAATAGACAATTGATGGCATTCAATTCAGTTTCATTGATAAAATATACACGGTAGCTCTTATTGAAACCATCACAAGTATCAGAATGACAACAGAAGAAATCTAAGAGAAGAGATCAGAAGATAGCAAACATGCGGTATACCATAACCCAACAACCGACAGCCAGACAGACAAACAGACAGGCAACTCACCCGAGATCACATGTCCATCAAATACCGACAGGTCACATGCACCACCTCATCCCCGTAATACCGTACCAAGCATACCATACCCAAGACAGTAATAAATTACCTAACTTACCGAGTTCTCTCCCTTCCGGATCGAAGGAGACGAAACGAAACGAATGGATGAATCACATCCACAACCACATCCATCATCGCTCCGTATCCAGTCCATGATTCATCATCGAAATGGAATCATCCTATACCATTGCACCGTAGAATATTTCCCTACCCTCCTTGACACTCAATGGCTGGTAATTTCCACTCAATGGCTATGTGTCTGTGCTCTGCTCTCTGTCCTTCAGGTATCTATCTATCCATCTGTCTGTGTTTCTACCGATCCGATCGTCGCAGGGAAACCCCCGATACACATGATACGTAAAGAAAAGTGGTACCTATGTTTTTTTCTTGGCGCAGGGTTAGTTTCAACTTCCTTCCTTCCGCCGACTAGAATAGATAGATAGAACTGGGTTATGGTTGCACGGCAGCTCTTCATGTCGGTTGGCTGTAGGTACTTCTTTTCTTACTTGGAACTATGAGTCGAGATTCATGCACATGCAGGGATTAGAGCTGCACGACAAAATTTTGGATGAAAAATTTTTTGCTTCTTTCTTTACTTTCACAGCCCCTGAAATAGAAAGACAGTTGGTGTGAGTCAATTGCATGGAAAGTGTCTGTAAAAGTTCTCACTGCTACCATTGAACACATATATTTTGCCCTTGGGTCGCTGAGGCGGTGGTGGTGGTAGGGTGGGTGACGTTTACATTTGGGATCGTCAGTCTAGATCCACCGGGTGAGAGTGAAGGGGGCGCCATGGGCCACTATGGGTTTGGTTGATGGCTGATTTTTACCAACAATTATTGAATATTAACTGGAGTGTGAGAGAGACTATTCTAGACGTTCTCTAGGTTGATTAATTAGATCAATTGGCTCTTGTGGTGTAATGGGGAGTTAGTGAGAGGGCTTATAAGGCGGTAATCGCCCATTGTTGGGAGGTAGTGGCCGGGAGGGCAGAGCTGCCCCCGGAGATTCCGGGACAACCGTTTCGTTGTCGACAGCTGGCATCAAGCTCGTACCTGTCTGGCTCACAACCACACCCTTCCGCCTTCAATAGACAAGGTCTTTTTTGTCGAGCTGTTCAGTCTGACCGACAAGCTTGAAAGCGTGATCATATGATCATTGGCTCAGAGATCTGACCTGACCAGCTAAACTGGACCGAGCACTGTTGTTACCCCAGGTTTTTCCATTCATGGGTCAGTCCGAACTGGCAAGATTTGAAAACAGCAGGAAATCATCAATCGATGTGGATATAGAGTCCCAATCCTACAATCAAATGTAGCTGGCAAATCCGTGGAGTTTAGTGGCCATTTTAAATCTCTATATGTACAGTGTATTTGATGGTTGTAGATGATGACGGGAAAAGTAGTACATGATATATAAAAAGACCACCACAATAGAATTACCTCCTATCACAGCCAAGACAATCTCAAAACAAAGGATTTTGCTGATATTCCCCCCAATATCCCCTATTTTCTCTCCAATATAGATGAAGGTTTGTAATCGAAGATTGGGAGTGGATCATAAAATCTCCGCAGATGCCGTGACTGCAATTATCCCTCGGTCATAATTTAAACGTACTTGCACATCATGGCAACCATCAGGTCGAACAGACCAATGGCCTCGACGAAGGCGAAACCAAGAATGGCGTAGGAGAAGAGCTGACCACGGAGGGCAGGGTTGCGGGAGACGGAGAGGAGGAGGGCACCGAAGACGAGACCGATACCGATACCGGCACCACCGAGACCGATGGCAGCGGAACCCATACCCAGGTTCTGGGAGACCTGGACCATGGCGTCGGCGATTTCAGAGGAGTACTGGCGGCGGGCCTGCTGGGCAGCGAAAGCCTGGCGAGCGTTGGCCTGGATGAGGCCGGAGGGAGACTGACGCTTGACGGTCTGGAAGGGGGTCATGGGGACGGCCTTGCGCTGGGTGGTGAAGGTACGCTTGGGGGCAAGCTGGAGGCGAGCGGCAGGGCGAGCGACCTTGGTGGAAGCAGCCATGGTGGAGGCCAGGCGCTGGGCGAAGACACGGGAGGAGGCCATTGTGATGGTTTGTGGTGGTTCTGAGAGAGGAGTTTCTCTAGAAAATGATGGGATTGGGAAGGGAAAGAAGGAAGGAGAACTTTTCTGGAGGAAAAAGCTGGAGGAAAGTGACAACAGAAGGCCCCCCGGGACATAAATACTCTCCCGCTAAATTTTCGCGGTTTTTTGCCCTTTTCCCACCCAGCCCCCCCGTCGGGTGTTAGTGCGCTTTGTTGGGACCAGAAAAAAAAGCCCTACCTTACTTTTTTTGTTTGCTGGTGTTTTTGGCACTGTCTGTTTGTATTGTATTGTTCCTGTTTTTCCTGTTTATGTCTTGTCTTTTGGTATCAATCCGTTATCCCTAGTTGATCCTTTCGCTCTTTTTCCCTTACACCGTGTTTGGCAGCCTCGTTTTTGGCTCATTATCCTTCTTCCTTCCCCCGGGAAAAGCAGTGGACATTCCACCGCACATACACACTTTCCACAACTTACTTACACATCCTGTGTACGCATACACACATACACACCCTTCGGGATCATTCGGGATGGTGGTTACCAGGGGAGCTACAGCTGGTACAGCCAATGGTTTCAGGGTCTTAACCTGGCCGTGCTGGTCCGCGATGGAGCAATGGCCTACTGACTCTCCCTCTCACCTTCCTTCCCCTTCAGATAACCAACCCAATTGCTGCATCTGATGGAGTATTCCGTAGTCATGTGTGTATTTTACACTTGTACGGACCGATCCCTTCCGTTTGATTCCTTTCTTGTCCTCGTGTCGTCACAAAAGGGAAGGGGAAAAAAACATTCCTGTCTTGTCTCTACGGGGCTCCTCCCTTCATTCTTTCCTTACATATAAATTGTCCCCTTCTCCCTTCCCCTTCTGACACCCACCCAACCCAGCAACAGACCGGGAAAGACAAGACAAGACACGAGAAACAAGCCCAAAGAGACCAGCTACGGTATGCAAAATTTTCACAGCGAAACGGGAGACCGCAAAGAAGAAAAAAAAAACCAGACGTGCGGGTGGGTCCCTGCATCCAAATGGGTCCGATAGAGTGGTACACCCCCACTTAGCGGTGGCCGGACAACCAATGGGAAGTAGCCAAGACCCAGCTAATATGATGGCCAGCTTCTCGGTCGCAATCAAACCGGGCCGAATCGGGCATGCGGCTCCACCAGCACCGGAGTTTCTGAGCAAGAAAAATTCCCACTTCTGAGACGCAAGCAGGTTTGCGCCGCGTCGGCTGGAAGGAGGGAAGCTTCCCCAATTGTCCTGTGTCGTGTTGCTGCCGTTGCTCCTTGTCTGCTTCTCCCCTCGGGAAATGCCTCACCGACTCATCGTATTGGGTTATCTGCCGTTTTGGGACAACCCGGCTCCGTACGGAGCGCCTTTCGCCGGGGAAACGCGCGACGATCCGTAGCTCCCTGAGCTAGCTCGCAAATAGCACAGAAATGTTAGTCCACACAGGCTTCTGGCGCTATGGCGCAAAAAATAAAATAAAAAAAAATAACCAATTCACCCAATGCCTCAGCACGCTTGTCTCCGAGGGTGGTGCACGGGTTATATAGCTTTTTGGATACATCAGAGAAATTGATCCCTCTCGGGGGAATAAGGAGCAAATCTCAGGGGGGTGTGGATGACCGGCGCAAGCTGAATAGGGGAGAAAAGTGGGCGCGCGCGCGCGGCGCAAGCCAACCCAATCCCATCGACATCATCCCGTGGCCTCTCGAAAACCGGACGAAAGCATATCCCACACACACACAAACACAGTCAGCCCGCTAGTGGCTGGCTTTGCTCGCGGTTTTACCCTGCTGTGTGCTTGTTATCGTGGCCACCACACCCCTTTCCACTAGAAGGAAGAATCCCTTGGAAGGAAAACCCATTGTGTAATTTTTACCTGCTTTGCTCACCAGCCCGTTTTTTCTTTCCCATCTTCCAAAGAAGACATCCGTCTGCTACTTATACCTGGATCAGGGTGAGGATTCCGGGGCAAATTTCTTCTACGCTCTCCCTAATTTTTTTTGTGTCCTAATTTTTATTTTTTATTTTTTGTGGCCCTCCCCCCCAATTTCTACACAGTCCCTATCTATTTCCGAGGTCGGTCTCACTAAACTCGATTTAACCCGGTGATCGAGATATGATCTCAGCCGCCCTGCAGTATTACGTAACCCGGCCAGCTTCCCGACTGAACCGCTGCCGCCGTCGCCGCAAACTGGCCTTGCCTTGCCTTGCCTTGCCTGCGGCGCTCTCACTTGTCCTGGCTCAATTTAAGCATGCAGCTGGTGCAGGGATGCCACGGGGCTCGAGCTGTTCGCGAACTGTTCTTCGGCTAGCAGGGGGTGGATGGTTGTTGTTGAATCCCAGTATTCTCAACAATTTAAAATGTCATGTAGAGTTGTAATGTGCAGCAATAACTTCTCGCTGATTAGTAGTATCCACGGGAACACAAAAATGCATAATTTAAGTATCGTTCTGGTGATACCGACAGACTCGGAGGATAAAGGGTGATGCGGATGGGGGATGGGATCGATCGATGGATGGCTGCAGCGACACGGAGCCCGCCGTGTATCGGACCTGTATTGGTGGTATTATTACGGTATTGTGAATACGTGACGGAGATTCGGTCTGAAAGTGCCTTAAGGTATCAAGGCACGAGTTTTGTCGGGTCAGCGGCAGGTCCCGGACCTCGGGATTTCAGTTGGGTTTAGTTGGAATGACGGACAACTCAAAGCAGGTATGGCGGCTACCTTACTATCTACGTATTGGGCTGGTGGCCGTGGCCGGCCATCATCATGCCGGTTGTTTCCTTGGTTTGGGCATGTAAGTGATTTACATTGTAGCTTGTGGTGCAGATGATAAGCTGGAATTCCTGACGAATCGGAGCGTAGGGGTGTATCTCGGTGAGGTTGTGGGTGTGGAATGTTGATTGCTAGCCACGGCGAGGGTGGTATGTGGATAATTATATATTGTGGTATGGAGGGTGGCTTCAGTTTGGTATGTTGAGGGTCCACAGGCAGAATGGGGAAGATATATCCGGGGTTAGTGTTTGTTTAACTTGTGGTTAAGGATTCTACTGTCGAGGCGATATATATAACTTATCGGGTGAAGAAGTTTACTTCAGTAGTACTCCAAACTATATAGTACGTACTAAGTATACATCGCACTTATAGAGTGTGTACACTCATTACGATAGAGGTAGGTGCTGAAATTGGTTAAACTTGGCAGTAACCTACACACGATCTTGATCTACTATGAAACATGATTCAATCTTGTGGCCATCTTGGCATGGTTCGATTAATACCATTGTAACGGAGTATTCAGCTGGTAGACACCTTCATCTCTGCCTTATTTGGAGGACATTTGCTGCATCATGTGATCACAGTGATCTTCATCAATCCTTCCTTTTCTAGATAATATCGATAGGGGTCCGCTGTTTAACTGGACGATGATAAGTAAAGTAGGTCCCTTGCTTCATTGCAAATGCTGCTAATTGAAATACTCATCCCGACGAAACCTTGAGAATAGTATTGTTCAGTTCATCATATCTCAACCATATCTTGCCGTACTGAAAACTGAGATAAGTATATTACGGAACTTCGAGTCAAATATCCGTTGTGAAGACTTACGTAGCTTGACCGAAATTTGACCGATCCATAGAAGAAGAGTTTGTCCTGTATGCTAGGTGGATGTATACCACGTATCTAGTACCAAAATGCAGCCATGAACCCATCACGAAGTGTTGGATACCCTTTCTCCTACCGACTTTAAAATGTCCCGTGGTTTCCTCACTTACAGAGAGCTGCTCCAGAACTTTGTAGACTGTCTATTTGTTCTGACATGTCTACTAAGGAAAGACACGTGTGTCTGTTTAGAACTAGGAGATCTCTCACATTGACATTGACATGTCTATTCTGAAGTAACGATCGTATCTTCCGCACCTCCAGACAGAACAAGATTCCAGTTAAAGCAATTGCTTAGGCTATGAGTGAAGACAACATAAGATACCGCTGTTCTACCATACTGCAGGTCAACTTCCCAGTAGTGTACCAGTCGGTTTGCCATCAGAACATAAGCTCATTTCGCAACAGCCACTGGAAAGTCCCTTCCCTATTTCTCAAACGGCGCCTCGATAGAATATCGCAAATCGAGCTCAATCTCCTCATCCGGCTCAAGTGTCACTTCCCATCTAACCTCTCCATCACGGCCCAGTTCCGCAGTCTTCGTTCCCGGCTTTCCCGTCTCCGTGAGATCCACCTTATCACCCGGAAACCCCAAGGTCTCTGGCGTCAGAATCTCAACATCAAAATGATCGTCCACATTAACTGGCACCTGATCCAATACCAAGACGTTGACTACATGATCTCTAGTATTCTTGATCTTGCATGATGCTTTGAAGTATCTGATAGTTAGTTCCAAGAATTCGTCGATTTTACTAAGTGTTATCCCAGGTTCCTTATACGCCACCTTGATGAATCTGTCCATTCCAAGGTTGAGTTCAAAGGATTCGTTGCGCACGCAGCTTGGAACATTGGCCTTGCCGAAACAGGTGCCGTCAACGGTTAAGCTCACTTCACCTGAACGCATATTCACAGGCGAAGTATTCTGTATCTTGGCACGAAGAAACGCTACGGCATGCCTTTTGGGCACTATCACATGGGTGAATGAAGCTTGGAGGTCCAGCTCAGCTATTTCATAGCGACGGGGCGCAGATGAGGGCTTGATGACACGCCGGCCAGGTAGTTCATACGATACACTCAGGCCATGGCCCGGGCTGATCGACTTGGGTACCTTGCTATCAGGCGGATATAAGTCATGGTTCATCGAGGCCCCCAACCCTTCCTCTAGGTTATCGGCTGTAAATGCCAGAAAAAAATCATCCAACTCAGGGTAACCAGGGGAGGGGAATGTCGGTTCTGGTATCCCCAGTGTTGGCATATAAGGGGGCACAGACGACCCAGATTTAGTCAGCATGACTGCCAAATCCCATGGTGTCAATGATGGGATAGCTTGCCCCGGAGGCGACATGTGCGCTTGCGGGGCCGACAGCGTTACCTGGGCATCTCGCCAGGTTTCGGAAGTCAGATTAGTGAACAGGGCACAGAGCCTGATCTTGGCCGTTGAGAAGAGCGTATTGATGTTGAGGTCGTGAAGCTTGAGATCTGACTTCGCCGGAACCGTATAGATCAATTGCAACATCACTTCATTGCTCTGAGCCTTTCTTCCAGCTTGGTTCTGCTCATCACCAGTTAAAGTGCCACAGCTCAACGCAGAAACAGGAGCAGTCACCTGCCCTTCCAGATGCACAACTACCTGACAGAAATGGTCTGAGACCGACTTATCCGCAGCAGGTTTCTGAATCCATTCTTCCAACAAATTCGGATCCTCCCCTCCATAGAGCGCTGGTCCGTACTCCACCTGACGAGGATATTGTGCACTAGCTCCACCATAACCCATAGGCTGCCTCTCTCGATTTAGAGAATCGTTCCCAGGGTAGGCTTTAAAGATGCCGCATCCGGCGTATAGCCCTTCAGAGGGGCGGAAGATGGTGTCTTTTCTATTATCCAGGTCTCTGATTGGGTCAAAGGCTTTTCTGTCAGAGGATGGTTTGCAAGTGGACGAGTATCGGAGAACGTTTGCATGCTGGATGTCTATTACTTTGGCAGCGCCGAGACTTCCAACACGGATGGAATCGGGATCGACCTGGTGGTCGATCTTGTTAATGGTAATTGCGAAAGCACCGGGCTGTTAGCGGCTGTGAGAAGATACTCTAGATATGATATACGGTTTCTAGGGGATCTGTACCTGGACACGGACAGGAAACTCGCGCGTGATGGTTGCTAGAGTAGGATGAAAGGCAACGGACTTTGTGGGAAGGTCCTCGACGGAGAATTCTTGGTGAGCAGAACCTTCCATGTTGATTAATTGCAAGATAGATAGATAATAAAGTTTGAGGAAGAGGATGGGGGGTGGGATTGGAAAACGAGAAGGCAGCGGATGCTTCGACGAGGGCTGAATGATTTGACCAAGATATATGTCTTTATATCCTGCATGTGATCACCGCCATGGGGAGGAATATCCCTTTGTAGTTCTGAGAGTGTTGCTTTTCACTTGACAAGCTATTAATCTCGAAACGCCACAAGTTGAGTTGGGGTGAATGTCAGATTTTAGTCCTCACTGTCTGTTCACGATCTAATTGTGTGGAAATAACCTGGTAGGTATACAGTTCTCAGAGTAGACTTCCAAGTTTGGTAATAGAATGGTTTCTCGTGAAGTTGCATCGTGATTATGGATGGGATCTTTCCATGTTAGATGATATCCCGTCCAGCAACATCTGCATTATCACTGAATGTTCCTTGCCACAAACGGATAACGCCAGCATAGCGCACTGTCGCCTTCACTTACTCTGTTACGTGGCAGCTATACAGCTGAATATCTGTCCAGTACTGATAGGATGGAAAGTTTTTGGAGCCATCCCTTATCATTAGAGTGACTGCGGTGTGTTATATACTAGCAATGCATAGTTGTGTTATGAAGTCACTTGGTGCAAGGTAATGGTATCCCAAGACTAGAGTACTTTCACCACATCACTACAATGAAGCAGAAGATCACAAAAGCGAGAAAGTCGCAGCTAGACTACGTTGAACAGAACAACGGCTGAGTAGTAATTAGAGGATAATCCAATTTGTATTAAACTTCACAAGAACCCCATGAGCGAATTATAGACGTATAGTACTCAACATCCTGGGCTATTCACAAGGAGAGACATTGAAACTATCAACAGGTTCAAGGAAGCCGCAAAACAACAACACAGCAACAACAGCAACAGCAAATTAATCACGCAAGATTATGACCCGGTGCGCCCCGAAGCCACCAGCAACTGTATGTACAGCGCGGAACCTGGATTCGACTCGAGCTAGAAATTACAACCATTAGTTTGGAGCAATTCACATTAGGAGATGAGGCGCATACATACCAGTCAATGCTTACTGCTGAGACTTGCCCTGCTCCTTCTCCTTCTCCTCACCACCCTCCTTGCCCCAGTTCTTGCCCGTCTTGTGATCGGTAGTCTCGCCGAAGCTCTTGCTGAAGGATGCGGACTCGTTGTCCTGGACGCTCTTGTAGTCTTCCTCACCAGCGGAACCGCCCTCCTTGCCCCACTTCTTGCCAGCCTCCTTGGAGTACTCGTTGGACTTGACAGGGACAGGCTGGGGCTTGGACTGAGGAGCGGGCTTGTGCCAGTGCTCCTGGGGCTTCTCAACAACGGGGACTTCGACTGCCTCGACGGCAACGGCTGTGGGCTTCTCTCCCCAGCCACCACCACGCTTGTGGATGTCCCCGCTACCATGGACATTGTCGTTGCCTGATAAATATTAGTATTGGATAAATTGGGAAAACAGGGATAGATGGACGCTGTCACATACCAACAGCAGGGGCGGCGATGGTGAGGCCAGCAAGGGCAACGAGGGAGAGAACAGCGGAGGCCTTCATTTTGAGTTATTGGTTGTTCAAAGCGTGAGCTTGTTGGTTGAAGATTTGTTTGTGAAATGAAGAGCTGTGAGGAGAGAAGCTTGATTGATGCTGATGATGAGAAGAAGTCGAGTTGGGGAGAATTCAAGGCCCTCTTTATACCTTTTCGCGAGGCCCTTCGGGTCTCTGGATACGATCCTAGAATAGCGACATGGCATATCCAGCCTGTCACCGAATATCACAGACACTGACACATCCACGACTCCGAACAATAGTTGCCTCCATATATGCGAATTAGTGTCAATAATTGGATTGCATGCACTACGGCTGCAGGGTCCCGAACGGTCAACCCCGGATTCTGTCTGTTAGATCGGATATGTACTGTGTGGCGTTGATATGTCATTTCGGCCCGGGGTTTGGCTGCCTTTATTGGCAGAAGTGTCAGTATTGCTGGTTGGAATTCCATATTTAGGTTTACCGATCGAGATTCCGAAGCAAGGGATGAGACTGTGGCTCTCGCCGCCTTCTAACCAAACACCAGTTCGCGCAACATGAAGGGTATAGATTTTGTGGCTGAAACTGTGTCGTTTCTCCTGACGATCAATGACTCTGGCTCGGGAATAAAAAATTATAGAAATTTGTCACGTCAATATTTGCCACTATGACATGATTGTGAAGCAGAAGAGCTCTCAATGTGGTATATGCGCGTAGTGAGTAACATATCGTATTTTCGGTAGAGGCAGCAAATAGTTCCCCGCAATGTGTGCAAACTGCATTAGAAGGAAAAGCATTTTCGTTGACCGAGTCTTGCTGAACAGAGATGCCCGACCTGATCTCTCAACCTTCACTTAACCAAGTAGGAATATAGAGAAATTGTTCTGCATGAGGCAAGTTCTATCAACTATTACGTGAAAGCCCCGAGGCGACTATGCAAGTGATCTCCGATTGTTTACGTTTTTACATGGTTGCCTGCACATAGTGACCTGTAATACCACTTATATGCTGAATGTGGCTGGCACTGTGTGACATACCAATGTAGTTCAGCAAAGTTGATCCAGAGAATGTAATGCATTTTATTAAAATAATTAGATTAAAGGCAACAATAATTGCAAATGTTTGAATTGTGTAAGTTGTCGGAATAACTACCCACTTTACTGGATAAGACATGGTCCCGATATGGGTATTACACACACATGAAGATAGACCGGATATATATGTAGAACCATTTGCAGGAGAATTATCGACAACATTTGTTGCAAAGAAATCGGAAAATTTCAACATACTATCAGTCTTCAATACAACGAACAGATGACAATGGCGCAGCACAGGGGACAAACAACAAACATTGCTTGGATGAAATGCAAATCGAACAAAAGATAAAAACATTAAATATTACTATCAATTATAAGATATTTGACCGACCCGAGAGTAAGCCCACAATCTATATGCTCCGAAATTTTACCCGTATTCCCAGTATCCTAGTTCCCAATTCCCTTCCGATAGGCGATCCCGCAAGTTTTGCTCGTTAAGGCCGTCAGAGTAAATTCGAACTTTTGCTTCTGTTACCAAGACATTAGTATAGATCACTATAGCGAAAGGGTCCGAATGTACATACCAAGAATGGCTGCTGAGACATTACTGCTGCTCCGTAGTCTGACTTTCGTAGGACTCATGAGTGTCGTAAGAAACAGATTCATGCTGGTTAACCGGGACGTGATTCACGGGGTGTGCAGGTGGCTTGGGAGCCTCGGGCTTGTGAACTTTAGGCTGGTGGACCTTAGGCTTGTGAACTTCGGGCTTGAAGTCTACAGACTGGTGGATCTCAGGCTTGGAGTTCTCAGACTGATAGCCCTTAGACTTGATATCATCTGTCTTGTATTCCTCGGACTGGTAGGCCTCAGACTTGTAGTCCTCCTTGGGAGCCTTGGGCTCTTGGTAGTCATGCTCGGGGACGTGAATCGTCGGGAATTCAGACTCAGAATACTCAGGCGCGACGGGCTCTGAGGGAGAAGAGCCAGATCCTCGCGGGTAAAAGACCTCGGAGCGTCCAATCTTGTGATTATTGTCACTGAGCTGGTATTTTTGCTCTTCAGCGCTGAGGCGATTGTTTTGGTTTTGGTTTCGGTTGTTCTGGTTCTGGTTGTTATTGTTGTTGTTGTTTTGAGGCTGGTTCTGCCCCTGAGGGTTGGCGTCTAAAAAATGTCAGTTTCTGCATAGCATGGTCAAGCTTGTGAAGACATACAACTCGTAGGTGCCGCGGCGGCCATAGTGGCGGCGAGGATGCAGAGAACGGCGGAAAGCTTCATGATGGCGGCGAGGGAGAGAATTGTCTGCGCTGCTTGGTCTTGAGTTGTTTGATGATGTTTTCTTGCAGTTGTGGTAGCAGAAAGGCTGGGGACAGTGGTCCTTTTATTGCTCGCCGAGTCACTGCTGAGTGATGGTGGTTAGTCTAGCTATGATAGTGACACCTGAGATATGAGGAATAATCGACAAAGACAGTGTTCAATGTGTAATCAATTATTCACATCCTGTACTACTTTTGCCCACGATTTGTGAAACCTCAGAGTGAGATCTATGCTATGTTGGGGTAACGGCAGCTGTCAATTGACAGCTCGTTCAAATGATCAACCGCTATTGGGCGTTATGATATCATTTGGGACAGCTACTGCCTAATATGGCTCTGATCTTCAATAGTGTTCCTTCCAGAACGATTATTTATATAGACCGCTTCTCATCATCTCCCTTCTTCGTCCATCACTACTTCGTATCATCGATCCCGTTCCCCTGTCACACTGATAAGTCTATCCCTATTCATTTCAGCACCACGCTAACCACCAAAATAGTATACCGAAGACCAACAGAACACCACACATTCGATCCGGCCGCAACTCCTACCGCAAAGTCTTTCTCAAAAAGTCTGCCTCGTACATACCATCTCCCCCTTGAGGCAACTGATACGGATATCTGGGCTCCGTCTTCCACCTCACATATCCGAGTCTTTCATACCACAGCACCGCCGGAAGCTCCGGTACCGCGTTCATTGATTCAAGGAATGCTCGCTTCTCCTCATTCTCAATGTACTCTTTGCTCAATGCATTGACAGTAACAGTCTGACACCGCGGATCGTTCACCGCCATTTCCTCCACCAACTGCATTGCTCGACGACCAACACCACCAGCACGGTACTCTGGCAAAATAAAGAACGATTGAATAGTCAAGACAGAGTGATCGGCCTGCGCAAGTCCCGGATCAGGCGGGGATGCGTATGCATCGAGCGAGATGTGACCCGCACGGATGGGTTCGTCACCACTCTTGCCGGGAAGGATGATCCAGAAGAATGTTTTCAAGTCTGCGTCTTGTTTCTCACGCCAGGCGAGGATGCTCTCGTCGCTGTAGTCCCAGCCGCAAATGTGGCGTTGGTGTTGGAGGGTGGCATATTCCGAGGGGTTGTAGAGGTTGATTGGGGATAATGTGCAGATCATTATGTATGTTTTTGCACCGGTGTTAGGTACGTATAAGGTGGGATGATGGTAGTATCATGGGCATGTAACGGCTTTTGTATCGAAGGGTCTTTTATAGGGTGTTGTACTAGTGAGTCACGCTAGTCTACCCGATAGTTCGGGTGCATCTGATTGGAAGATGAGGTGATATTCGGCCGGCTATGCGGGGAACCGAAGACCACGAGGTTCAATCCATCGAGAAGGGTCAGAATAAGCTGACGATGGTATCACATGCTCCTAAGATGGAGGCTGATGTTGCATTTTACCCTCCTACGTGATGCAAGTCTGTGGCTTCTTAGCCGACCAACAAAGGGGATTTACAAGAACTCTAACAGAGAGCAGATCTCATGAGCAACAATCTTCTGAAGGAACATAGAAAAGGGAAAGCGTCAATTGTTAAAAAGGTGCCAGGATAGGCCTTGTGGCAGCGCAGGAACGACATGGCTGAGTGCCACGGACACTAGCGACCGTCTGGAGAACATGCATGTGCCAGCAGCTCTGCCCAACCTGCGAATGGCTGGTTTGAAACCCAGTGGAGAACTGTCACCGGGAGGGCGTCCAGTTAGCGTGGTGCCCTCCTATAAGCAATCCTTGCCCTGATGCCCGCCAGCTATGACACTGACGAGAAGCAAAAAGCATGAAAATACAGGTGAAAGATCTCGAAAACATCCCTCTAAGAAATTATCTCATGCTAATGAATCTCACCACACCTCGAACACGCTGAAATCCGATCAAACCTTCGACTTCAATCCATCTTCCCCAATTGCCTCCCTCATCACACCCTCCGGAGCATCTAACCCCGTCCACAACCGATACTGCTCAAACCCCTGCCTCAACAACACCTCCAATCCATCGCGGACCACCCACCCATGCCTCTCCGCAACCCTCATCAGGGGAGTAACTTTCGGCTTATAAGCCATCTCCACACACAACCCCGTCTTGGATCCCTGGAACAGCCCTTCAAAGTCCTCCTCAGTCTTAACATCCCCGGGAATAGTCCCAATAACCACATCTACAGGTCCAATGCCACCCACATCCCCAACAGCCCTCATCTCAACGCCATTACCCCCACACTTGAGAGTATCAAAGTCCTCAACAATATCCTCTGCTTTCCCGACAGTCCGATTCCAAATAATAATCGTAGAGAACTCAGCCTGTAAGAGCGCATACACGGCTGCTCTCGCGGCACCCCCTGCCCCAATAACGAGGCCTACTTTGCCGGTCCCTTTAGCGGAACGTATGCCTTGCTGAGATAAGTAGTCGATGATGAGGGTGTAGAGGCCGGACCAGTCTGTGTTGTCGCCTTTTACTTTAACTGCCCGGTTCCCGTTCGGGGATCGGGTAGTAACTAGGGTGTTGATGGCTCCAATGGCGCGCGCTGAATCGCTCACTTCAGTACAGTGTTCGAAGGCAGTGAGTTTATGGGGCATGGTGATGCTGGCACCGCCAAAAGAGGGTGAGGTGATGAGCTGAGATACTTCTGATAAGGAAGCGCATTCTGCGATGGTGTAGGTGTATGGGAGGTGGTGGTGGGTGAAGGCGGCGTTGTGTATTGTCGGGGATAAGGAGGCGCGGATGTTGGGGCCGCCGAAGATGTGGAAGACAAGGGGCCGAGTCATTTTCAGTGTATGGACGAGACAAATTCAAATACGAACAATGGGACTGAACTTGATTAGGGTACTGTATTTGGTTGTGATGGTTGATATAGGGCTCGGTGGTGGAGTGTCGGGTATGATCATAGCCTAGGGTATGTGTTTATCATCGGGAGGGAGCCGAAGTATGGGGTTATTGGATGGGTGTATGTTTATCCTGGAGACGAAGCTAGTGGAAATTGACACGGCTATGGATTCATAGAATGCCTATATGTGGGTTTGTATTCTACTCTGAGATGGCATTGCTCTTAAGAGGATTGTTGGGCATCTCGCCTTCCTACTCCAGTACAATGGATATAACTCCTAACCTACGCGATAGTCCTTAAACGGTTTAAACAAGTAATTTGATATCTATTCAACACATACACCAGCATACATACTACCAGTAATCTACATCAAGCCCACTCCACATTCCCCCCCTCAACCCACTCCTTCGCCTGCCAATACAACAAGTCATGCTTCTCACCATTAACACTCCCCGTCGCCTTCTCCCTCCTATGTCCCGGCAAATCCCTAAGAACCTTAACCCCCATCGTCTCCTCCTGCAAATATGCCAAATGGCGATACCCCACCGGATATTGCTTCAAAGTTTCATGATCAATCACGGGCACGCGATCCGGCGTCACAAGCACCAATTTATCCTTCTCATACCAATGCCTCACGAACCTCGCCCGCCACTGACCCTCCAAATCCCCATACTCAGAACCAACCTTCTCCCAGAAGAAAACAAACCGACAATCACTCTCCGCATCCACCTCACACGTTCCCCCACTTACACACTCCACCTCACTGAACCGCTGCGTAATAGTAGCCTTCATCTTGGTAACAGCGCGTGTTCCTTCGGGATTGATATCTGTAGTGCTGCCATGCACGCGATGCATGATGAATGCACCCTTGTCCATCCCCGCCTGCGAGGCTGTGATGAATGCATCGTGGTGCGTGAGGCCCGTCCACGTCGTGTACACGTGTGCTTCTGGATGGAAGATTGACCGGAAGTTCTCCCATTCGCAGGCGTCGCGGTAGCACGGCCAGCCTTCGGCGAGTTCGCGTAGGAGATACCGCTCTATTGCCAGATGTTGGGGGCCGTTGTTGCGGATGGCGTGCTGGGGGCGGGAGTTGGGGGGAAGGGTGTGAAGGTCGGGCATTTTGATGATGGTTAATTTGATTTATTTTGCGTGTTCTGAGCTAATTGAGTGAGTGAGAGATTTATATGGATAGAAAAGGGATGGTGATTGTACAGATGTAGATGGTGGGGGTTAGTTCACTTTATACTATACTCATCTTAAGTAAGTAGGGCGTACATACCCCGCGGGGAAGAGCCGGGGAGAAGATTGGGCTCGGCAAAAAAATATCCGTGACGGGTAGGATCATAGCCGATGGACATTCTGACTATTATATTATCTGTGTCAGTCATATACTCTACAGACAAGTTTCTACAATATCCAGATCAAACCAGATATCACAAAAAGCACCATGTCCGCCACCACCACCTCCGACCCCCGGCGCTACGCCTACCTCGTCGGCATAGGGGTAACCCACTCCATCGCGCCCCCCATGCACAACTACTCCTTCGACAGCATGGGCTACCCATGGACATTCATCGCGCAAGAGTGCCCAACCGTCGAAGACGCTGTGACACTCTTCCGTCAGCCCACCTTCGCCGGCGGGGTGGTAACCATGCCCTACAAGCGCACCATCATGGAGCATCTCGATGGGCTAGACGAGTACGCTGTGCGCCTCCAAGCGTGCAATAATGTCTATCGCGCAGAAGATGGTTCGCTACGCGGGACGAATACAGACTGGCGCGGGATCAAGGGGTGCTTGCTATCAGCTGATCCCGAGGAGAAAGGGAGGGGTAAGGCCGCGGTTATTGTGGGCGCTGGGGGAGCGTGTCGCGCGGCGGTGTATGCGCTGTATGCGGAATTGGGATGTACGCCTATTTATGTTGTGAATCGGGATGAGGAAGAGGTTAGGGTGTTGAGGGAGGATACGGAGAAGGAGTATGGGGAGGGGTTGAAGATGATTCATGTTGAGAGGGTGGAGCAGGTTGCGGGTTTGTTGGAGGATGCGGCGCCGGGGTATGTCGTTGGGACGGTTCCTGATGCGGAGCCGGTGACAGCGGAGGAAAAGGAAGTGCATCGCATTGTGGAGGCGTTTCTGGATGCTCCTACTAAGGGGGTGTTGCTGGATATGTGTTTTAAGCCGAGACAGACGAGGTTTCTGAAGATGGCGCGACAGCGTGGGTGGGCTACGGTGGAGGGGACGGAGGTAATTGGACACCAGATGCCGGAGCAGTATCGGCTCTGGTGCGGGGAAGAGGAGAGACAGAAGTTGTCGCTGGATGGAGCGTGGTCTGTGCTGCGGAAGGCTGCAGAGGAGAGTCCGGGTATTAACTTCTAGAGGATAAGAGTAGAGTTGGTGGATTGCAGGGACAGGGATCGGATGAGGGCATTGCCGATGACCTCAGTGTGGGCCGGGCCTGACGTATGATAGAAAGCATATAAATGCGCACCCAAGGTTCATGCTACACTTTGAATATCACATACATTGTATTATCAGTTATTTCTATTCATCATGCCCTGCAAACCTGCAATCGCGTCCATGTCCGTGGGCCGTGCCTGGGTCCATTCTCTTCCGGAGAAGCTCTTCCAAATTGCTCAGGCCGGATTCCAAGGAGTGGAGATTTTCTACGAAGACCTGGAATACCTCACCAAAGAAAAGGGAGAACCGACAGAAGAGAATCTCCTAGCTGCCGCCCGAGAAACCAAGGACCTCTGTAATCATCACGGCCTGGAAGTGATTGGCTTACAGCCGTTCATGTTTTATGAGGGCCTACTGGATCGAGATGTCCACCAACAGAAAATCGCCAAACTTCACACCTGGTTCAAGATTATCAAGATCCTTGGCACCGATATCATCCAGATCCCGTCAAACTTTCAGCCCGATGGCATCTCAGGAGACCTTGACCTCATCGTCTCCGACATGATCGAGGTGGCCGATCTGGGCCTGAAGCAAGAGCCGCCAGTTCGCTTCGCATACGAGAGTCTCGCCTGGGGTACGTATGTTTCAACATGGGACACTATGTGGGAAATCATCCAGCGGGTGGATCGCCCCAATTTCGGATGTTGTCTAGATACCTTCAACATCGCCGGTCGGGTGTGGGCCGATCCCGCAAGTCCTTCGGGGAAGGTCCCTAACGCAGATGCTGTGCTGGCCCATTCGTTGGATCGCCTTGTCAAGACCATCGACGTGAAAAAGGTCTTTTATGTCCAAGTTGTTGATGCAGAAAAAATGGAGCAGCCATTGGTCCCCGGCCATCCGTTCCACGTC